GGCCTATTTGATGGAGGTATGGCAATTCTGGATCCCCTAGTTTTCAGAAATTGGTTTTTAGAATTTTTTATGTTTTAATCCATCCCCTAAATAGAAAAGAATCCCCAATAAAGACCCAGTTTAGTCTGAATCATCCACCATGATCTTCATTTGGCTTAAAATATAAAAGTTTTCAGAGCTCCCATTCAAAACTCTAAAAATATCCCTCTCTTTTGATGTAGGTAGCCTCTGTCCTGGTCATTGGCCTTAGGCTCAGATGGCCTGAATTATCTCTCTTATGCAGTCTTTGCTAAACAAGATCTGGTGTGAATAATTTAAGGCCCATTCCTGTTCCTTCTCAGCAGATTTCCAATATCAAGCTGATCATCATTTCGGCACCAGCAGAGATGTGCTATTTCTGTCCCCGATGGCCACTTCCTTCTTGGGAAAGTGACCCTGAGGTGCTGCAGATGAGCTAGGAGGAAGGGTTGTCCCAGGACAGACGTTGTGCCTGAGTGGAAGCTGGACGGTCCCCTTCTGGGTCATTCCTTGGTAACTCCTCCCCCGCTCCTCCTGATCCAAGATAGATGCACATCATTCAGACACCTGGTCTTTCACCTTTCCCTCTCCTCTGGGACTGCTTTGTCTAGTGATAGACCCACTGCCCTTCTCCTTTGGAGCTTCCCTCACCTGTCGGCTGATTCAAGATTTTAAATGGAAGTTAGACATGGAGGGGACAAAATGAAATGAAACCGAGAAGGAACTGCTAAGAGCCATACAGCACTTTTACACTGCCTTAACCACACCACTGGACTCTAAATGGGAGCCTGGGTTTAAAAATTCCTACTGTGTGAGCACAAGAAAGGTAATAGGTTAACGTTCTTGGTTTAAACAATCAAGTGCTTGATGCTTCAGGGGCTGCTGGGCCCAGATGTGGATTAGTCACGATCTCCTGCTTTACCTCCTGCTCTGTTCTTGGGCCGGTTCCATCATTGGTTCTTTCACAGAGGGGCAGAGAAAGCAAAGAAAGCAGATTCTTGGCCATGGAGTTTGCTGTTTAGCAAACTAGCACCCCAGCAGAGATGCCTGTCTCCACAGTCCTGTGTTGGTGGCTGAGCGCATGTGTGCGTGCATAGGCATGTGTGTGCATGAATGTGTGTGTGTGTGCATGCACACTTTTTTCTGACCAGAGTTTCAAGCTGTTGCCTCCCTGATGTGTCTGTTAGTGACTTAGACCACAGAGATCATCAGTTCTGTGTGGGCTGGGAGTGAACACAGGCAGGTCGCTATAGGAGGGGGTAAAGTGGAACTGAAAAGAAGCAGGGAATCTTGTACCAGCCTGTCCAACAGTTGCTGTGCCCCAGCCATGCCTCAAGCCCCAGAGGGATGACAAGGCTCACTGCTGACGCCCCGAAGTGCAGAAGGGTATGGCAAGAGGTACGCAGCAAGCCTTTAGGCAAACACAAGGCCCTGACCTTCACTGCCTTCACTGACTCTCCACATCTCTCCTGCATGCCCCGGGCACAGGGCTTGGTTCCCTCTGGGCAGTTCATCCAGACTAAGTGACAGTCAGGTTGAGATGCAAAGGCTGAAGACATTCATTCTTCATGGATCAGCCTGGATGGCAGGACAGATTTCATGAATGGATGGTGTAAGAGGAAGTGAGGAATGGGAGGCTGTGCTCAGTGGCTTGGAGAGCACAGTGTGGTCAGGTGCTAAAGCTTAGGCTTCCCATCTGGCCTTTGAGATGGCCAAGGCTAAGAGCTCCTATGATTACACTCTTCTCCAAAAAATCTGATAAATCTGAGTGTCTCCCACTAATGCCTGGGTGACCCACCCACTCACCCAGCCGATGTGTTTCAGCCGGTAACCTTTGAATGGAGCACTGGACTCTGATCCTCAAGTTCCCTTCTAAACTGAATATGCTCTCAACCAGGTGTGCTGTTCTTTCCTTACTATAATGGGAGCAAGGAAGCACTTGGATGCCTGAGGCTTCTAGGGTCCCCCCATATGCCCTTGTCTCCTGCCCTAGTGTTCTGAGCTAGGTGCTGCAGGGAGCCCTCCCTTGTTACCGGCCAGACCTCCAAAAGCTACCGCTCCATGAAGACCTCTGCAGAGGTGGAGAGCAGGGTGTGCCCTGCACGCATCCTCCCCCTTGGCCTCTGGTCCCTCTGCTTCCCATCAGGCTTGGCCTCCCCAGGGAAGCAGATTCTTGGAGGTGATTCCAACGGACTGCAACACACAGTCCAGTTCCAGCCATTACTTGCTCTACATCTCAGCCAGTTTCCTCATCTGGAGAATGGGCGTGAATATGACCTCTTTGGACACAGAATAGTGTGGTTTGTCCAAGCGTGGGCTTGGAGGCAGACCGCATACTGCTTATCAGCAGTGTGTATCATGCATTTTAAAACTTCGTGTTTTCCTGCTGCCTCCACATCCCTATATGCGGGCTGTGTGCACCTGCTGGGGTGACCAGGTGCACCAGTGTGATAGGGCTGGCACTGCTACAAGTTCCCCTTGCTACCCTCCCCTGTGACCCAGTGACATTCAAATGCACCAGTGGACTCTCCTGCCTTTTCTTATGGTTCCACCATGACCCTTAGTGAAAGGGTCTCACCCACTGTCTGTCCCCTGCCTGCTTGGGGGAGCCCTTGTCTTTGGCTCACCTCCTGTGTGATGCCCCCCCCCCCAGCCCAGTGGGGTGTGCAGTGATTCTGTCTAGGACAGGGGTGTCTGATCTTTTGGCTTCCCTGGGCCACACATAAAACATGCTAACGATAGCTCATGAGCTAAAAAAAAAAAAAATCCCCCCAAAATCTCGTAACATTTAGAGAAAGTTTACAGATTTGTGTTGGGCTGCATTCCAAGCCGTCCTGGGCTGCATGGGCCACAGGTTGGACAAGCTAGGTCTAGGACCTAACAGTCTGATAACTCTGCTGTCCTGTGCCTCTCCTGTGACCTCTGTGGCCACACCTTACTGACCATCACCTAAAGGAACACAACCACCAGATGACTCTGGTCAAATTGCTTCACCCACCTCTGCTCACAGTTGCCTTCCTGTGCATACACATAACAAGAGTTGCTGGGCTGGGCACAGTGGCTCACACCTGTAATCACAGCACTTTGGGAGCTGAGACAGGTGGATCATGAGGTCAGGAATTCAAGACCAACTGGGTCAACATGGTGAAACCCTGTCTCTACTAAAAATACAAAAAAGTTAGCTGGGCATGGTGGCAAGCACCTATAATCTCAGCTACTCGGGAGGCTGAGGCACAGAATTGCTTGAACCTAGGAGGCGGAGGCTGCAGTGAGCCAAAATCGTGCCACTGCACTCCAGCCTAGGTGACAGAATGAGGCCCTGTCTCAAAAAAATTGCTGCTCTTTGGGGCGGGACGCGGACTGAGTAAGTTGATGCGCATGAATGTTGAGCACAGTGCTTGCTCCGCACAGAGTTCAGATTACTGGGACTTTGCAGGTTGCTGTAGTGAGGATAGAGCGAGGTGACTCTAGTGAATGGTGGTCATTTGTGTTCTAATTGGGCTCAGGGAGGAATGCAGGGCCTGTTTCTCAGTGCTGCAGGAGGACCACTGGCCTCTACCGGCTCCACAGAACCAGGACAGATGGTCTGGGTCAGAAGGAAGGCGCTTGGTGAGGGCTTCTGAATTCCTTCTTGGGTTGTCCAGAGGTGAGTCTTGTCCTCCCTCAGCAAGATGACCTGACGGAAGGAGGCAGGTAAGAGCACAAGGCTCAGCAGCCTGCTCATGGGCAGACCTCCAGGTGTCAGGGCCAGAGGCTCAGCCTAAAGCCTGAGGCCAAGCTGAAGGCCCTGCTTGCTAAGGGGTGCAGAGCCGGCCAGGACAGACAGGCTTGCTGACACTGAGAGGAGAAGGGTCTCTCTCTGGGCCCAACTGTACTGGTCCCCATAAGCCTCGGTCCCCATAAGGTCTGGTCAGTGCCACGCAGAGGGAACACCCCCAGGCTGCGCTACATGCCTAGTTTTACTCAGTCACATCACATGTCTTCATCCAGATACATTGGTCAGATCTGGGATGTGTCACATGGCTCTCAAGGGCCTCGGCTGACCGACTGCATTGCCCTGCTGGAAATCCTCACGGTAGGCCCCATGTAGGAGTAGGTGGTGGTGTGGCTGGCTCTCTGCTAGAAAAGAGCTTAAAACCCATACTCTGGGGGCCTTCACTTTAGGAGACAAATCAACCCATGTGAACACATGGGCCTAATTTAGATTCTAACTCAAACGTAAATAAAACAACAATGGTTTGTGGGTCAACTGGGAAGATGTGAAATTCCTGGTTATTTTGTGATATTAAGGAATGACTGTTAATGGTTTTGAAGTGTGATAATGGTAATGTTATATTTTCTAAAAGAGGGTCCTTAAGTTTTAGAGGTACACACTAAAACATTGACAGATGACAGGCTGTCAGGGACCATTTCAGAATCCCCTGGGGTTAGGAAGTGGGCAGGTGAGGGTGTGGACAGAACCAGGACTGGCTTTGAGATGGTAACTGTTGAGCTCTGGGTGACGGGAAGACAGAGCTTCATGAAAAGCACACTTTATTTGTGCATATCTTTGAAAGTTGCCATAATAAAATTTAGGAGGAGGAGGAAGATGAGGGAGGAGGGAGAAGGGGAGAGGGGAGAAGTAGGAGGAGGAGAAGGAAAAGGGATAGGGAGGAGGGGAAGGGTAAGTAGAGGAAGGAGAAGGAGTGGAGCAGGAAGAAGAGGAGATGAAGAAATAGAGGGAGGAAGGGGCCGAAGGGGAGTGGGAGGAGACGGACATGGAGGTGTGGGGTAGGAGCTGCTGCTGCAGTGACCCAGATGGCCCTGCTTGTTTAGGTCTAAGAACCTGGAGACCATCGTAAACAGGAGACGCCACCCTGTCTCTGGCTCTCCCACAGCCTCAGCCCCTCCCATTCCAGGGCTGGGGCCCCTCTCACTTGCTGGGAAGCCAACTGAGTGGTGCAGGGCTCCCCCTCCCTGTAGAGCACAGGGCAGGCACTGACCGTGGAGAGGCAGCCCTTCTGCTCCCGGAGGATGGTACCGAAGCCGAGGAAGCCGGTGGCCATGACAAGTGCGCCCGCGAAGATGAGGATGTAGGCGGAGGTGGCAAAGGTGCTAGAGGCCAGGACGCTGAGGTAGCCACTCTTCTCCACCAGGGTCCAGACGCCCACGGCCAGGACGGCTGCTCCCCCGACCTGCAGGACACCACTGAGTTAGAGCAGGGGGCGGGCGGGGGCCTCAGCAGCTACCATTCATTCAGTGCCCACAGGGTGCCAGGGTCTTCTCCTGCACTGGCTCAGTCAGTGAGAATGGCGTGGTTATCCAATTTTATAGATGAGGAAACTGAGGCTGAGAGAGGTTAGGAGACTTGTTCAAGATAAGCAACCTGAAGAGCCAGGTTTTGAGTCCAGGTCTGTGAATTCAGTGCTTTTTACTGTGGTGGCCTATTGCGTATGAGGCCGGGGAGAGGACAGCAGTTTCAGGGTTGACCAACATATCTGAGACCCTTCACCTCCCAGCTTTTCACCTCCCCAACTCCTGCCACCCCCGGCTCCTCTCCCCTCAGTGCACTCCCTCCCCCTGCCCCACTTCCCTCCCCCCGCCCCACTTCCCCAGTGGGACTGAGCAACACCCCTTGTTTAAATCTTATGTTTGCCGATTGGGGAAGCACAGCTGGGCTTTTTATCCCTATTCTACAGAGGAAGAAACTGAGACCCATGGAGGAAAGGTAAATTGTCCAAGGTCTTGCCTGTAGTTGAGGGCAGGGGCAGAGGCAGGACGAGAGTTCCGAGCCCAGGGCCTGCCCACTCAGTCACACTGCCTCTATGATCAAAGAGCCAGGGGGCTTGACAGGCTGGAGCTGCCTGGACTGCAAGAGGAGAAATTTTTTGCTAACTGTCTGACTCCCCTTTGGTCCTGAGAAGGGGGCAGGGATAGGACACTCCTGATTTGCAGATGGGGGGATGCCTCCTTAGAAACTGGTGTACTTGGGAAATATAGCAGGGATGGCTCAGCTTGACTGGCTCTATTTGCAATGAAGACAAGTAACTCTTTCTGTGACTCTTAGACCCAGCAGAGCATAATGTATGTGTATGTACACACGCACAGCATCTTCAGGGTACCAGATGGGGAGTACTAGGGTGTTTGCCCAGGATTTGGGGACAGGACCCCAAGACTCCTGACCCTCTCTGCCATCTGCTCCTGGGAAGATGGCCTTCTGCCCGCTAGTCTCCCTGTCCCCATTTAAGGATGGGTCTCTTTCCTTTGATGGATGTCGGATGCTTCCTCAAGGGGTCCTGGGCATGCTCAAAGCTAGAGAAGTGCCCTAGGTTCTGTCCATGCCCCCCTTGAGCCTTGTCACTGAGAGGAGCTCCCCATCTGCCCCAGGAAGACTCCACACAACCTACTCTGTCATTTCCTAGTTTTCTGTTCTGGGCAGTCACAGACATCCGTTGAGCAAGTGAACATGTATTTACCATTTTCTCTTCTGAGCTTGGCAACAGCTCTGTGAATATGGGGCAGGGTGGCAGGGCACATATTCTCTGTTGTGCAGATGAGGAAATTGAGGCTTGAGGGGAATAAGAATGTGCCCAAGATGACACCATTAGAGTTTCAGAATTGAGATTAAAACCTACATCTCCGGAGAGCAAATCCAGGACTCTGTCCCCAGATCCCACCCCAGTGATGCCCTCAAGTCATGTCACTCCCCTGCTGGGGCTCAAGTCCTCCGCCTTCTCTGCCACCTGTCTTAGATCCCACAGACTGGGCTGGGCCTGCTCCGCTACTTCTGCGTCTTTAGTAGGTGCTATTTCTTCAAAGTGTCATAGTACCTCCATTGGCACCTCCAGCAGGTGGAAGAACACCATCAGGGCTATGGCAAACAGAATGGGAGCAGCTACCATGCAGATTTCTTCAGTTCCATGATGCACACATTTTTCCCTCACATTTTAACATCTCTAAAATTGGGATGTATCTTATGACTGACAGTATTTAACAGTTATACTTGGCAGCAGGTTTTCTTAGTGGTACAAAAAACAATAATGTATCGTACCACTGATGATATCTTAGATTCAGTGAAATCCTAGAATACAATAGGCTTTTAAATTCTCTGTGGGTATAGGTTATCTCATACAATCTCCATGACTAGTGAGGGATTTCCTGAGTTTGGGTCAACAAAATTGTGTAAAATGAGGGTTTGCAGCCAAATATCCTGTAAAGAATTCTTTCTTCCCCCTACAGCATGTCTGGAAGGCTTAGGTGAGGGTCCTAACTTTGTATAACTAGCGGTGTGACCTAAACATGGTCTTTTAACCTCTCTGGACCTCAGCTTCTTCATCTCTCAAATAAGGGAGTTGTATTAGATCAGTGGTTTCCAACCTATAACCACTGGGAACCCCTTTGAATACTTTCCCCTGTGGATCTAATGTTTTAAGGGCCTCCACCTCTCCCCCAGAGTGTTACATCCTTAGGTAAGGAATGAGAAGGTTTCAGTCATTCAGGGGGCCACCTCCTTGGGACATGGTCAGCTCTTTAGAAAACAAGCTTTCCTCTGGGTCAGAAAATTAACACTGCTCACTGTTGGATGGTCACCAGAGGGGCTCACGGGAGGGCAGAAGTCAGCAGCCTGGGTTCTAGTTCTGCCTGTGCCCCTGACTAGCCACATGACTGTGGGACAGAAAGCAGCCCCTCTAAGCCTCAGTTTCTTCATCTGTAAACTGGAGGCACTGAATGGGAATACCTCTGAGGTTCCTTCCACGTGGTTAAACTGTCCCTGTTAGTACCGAGGGTCAAGTTTCTGCCAAACCACCTCTGGCAAGATGGTTCTGAACCAGTGGCTCAAGGCTGTCACTAAAGTCACCTGGAAACTGCTTCAGTCAGCAGAGAGGAGGAAGAGGGACTGATGGGGCAGGGAGAGATCTGACTCCAGTGAGCTACTCAAAAGCCATTGGCATACAGTTGATTCAATAGTATTTGGCTCTTTTCAGAAACTGGCGTAATTTTCCACGGGGGTAATAACTACATTTTTTTTCTTTTTTCTCGCACTGTTGCCCAGCCTGGAGAACAGTGGTGTGATCTCAGCTCGCTGCAACTTCCACCTCCCAGGTCAAGTGTTTCTCCCTCCTCAGCCTTCCGAGTAGCTGTGATTAGGGGCGTGCACCACCACGTCTGGCTAATTTTTGTATTTTTAGTAGAAACAGGGTTTCACCATGTTGGCCAGGCTGGTCTCGAACTCCTGACCTCTGGTGATCCATCTGCCTTGGCCTCCCAAAGTGCTGGGATTACAGGTGTGAGCCACTGCCTGGGCAATAACTACATTTTCAAAGCCATAGCCTGTGGCCAACTAGCCAGCAAGCCCTGCAGAGGGTGAAGCCAGGCAATGAGGATGCAAGCTGAGCTGGCTGGGAGGGGTGGAGCAGGTTACCCCTGCTGTGTAATTTTAGGAACTTCCCATTCATAGGAAACACGACGGGGTGAAGCATTAGCCTGAGAAATGCATGCCTGGCACTCAGAGAAGCTCGTTCATGAGGAGGGCGAGCAGCAGTGCCTGATGCCCACTTGTGTGCCCTCCTGGGGAGCTCGGTTGCTTGGGCGTGGGACAGGGGTGCCATCCACCCTGCCTGCCTGTGGGCATACGGCTGAGCTGTGCTCTACTGGGGCTGCAGCCCGGGGTTCAGCTGATTCTTCTGATGTGGGAATGGGAAGCTGTTCTTTAAAAGAAACTGAGCCTTGTTCAGACCTAGTCTCCCAGTCCTCTCCCTGAGCCTCCATGCTGTGTTTGCTCCCCAAATTAGACCCATTCTTTTCTTCTTCATAGCAGAAGTCACCCGGGTGACTAAAGACCCTGACTAAGTCAGATATTGGGGCAGGGACAGTGGCAGTATGGGTCCCATGACAGCCCAAGAGCCTGACGTCACTGTAGCAGGTGCACATTGGGTACTGGTTGAAAGAATGAGAATAACCAAGCATCAGTCTAGCCTTAATATTCTTAGGGTCCAACCCCAGCCTTTCCAGGAGACTCTTCCTAATGACCCAGAGAAAAAGCCAATTCCCCTCTGGGACTGCTGGGACTTTGTGGACTGCCCCTTTAAAATCAAAACAACCATAAAGCAGGAAAGAGGAACACTAGCTGTTGCCCCAGGAGCTCAGCAGACTGAGGCAGGTGGGGGAGCAGATGCCATTTCCACAGCCCTCTAAGAGCCCCATCCACTGAGTCCCACACTTCCTGGGGTGGCTCCCGGGTGCTGGGCCACGTTCTTAGGGGAGTGAGGGGAGATCCCCACCCCCCAGGGCCGAGGGCTGCTGTGAAGTGAGCAGCACCACAGACATGTAGGAAAGGGTTGAACTCACCTGCCCAGGACAGTCAGAGCAGGTGCCACACTCAAAATCTCAAAATGGGCCTTAGAGGGTGTGTAGGAGTTCAAAAGAAGAGGGAGGGCCGAGAGAACAATGTGAGAAAGGTGGGCAGGGATGAGAGAGAGCCTCCCTGAGGCCCACAGGGCTGTTTCACTTATCCAAATCCACACAGCCAATAAACAGAGGGGCTTGGACTGGACACTGTGCTGCGAACAGGAGTTCACCCTGTTTACCACTATGCTAACAGTGCCCGAGTTATTAGGTAACCACACTATTTTCAAGAAAAAGCAACTACTTGGTTCAAAGTGATTAAAACCCAGGTGTGGGGGAAAGAAAGTAGCAAATATGATACCAAAAAGTTAAGGCCAGACTGTAAGAGCCCTGAGGCCATGTGAGAGTTTGGGCTTGGTGCCCTGGGCGTGGGAGCAGATGGGGACGTCTCAGCCAGGGGTGCCGTGGGGAATCAGCCTGTGGGCGGAGCAGAAGCTGGGAGCTGACCACGGTGGGGAATCCAGGTGGGCAGTGTGGTGGGGAGATGGAGACAGGTTGGAGGGCAGAGGGGAATGGTCACATGGTTGTTGCTGAGAGAAGGCGGAGTCTATAGGGACCCTGCAGGGTCTGGGGTGGGTGGGTGATAGTGCCATGGATGAGACTGAGCAGGGAAGAGGAACACAGATGACGAGTGTGGTTCCCATGGGTGAGCTCCTGTCCAGCCCAGAAGGCGATTCAGTCCGGTGTGGGGCTTGGTATGTAGCAGGTGGCCAGCAGATGCAGAGTCTACTATCACCCTGTGCACTGCCTGTCTCCTTGTGCGTTTCCGCCTCCTGAACCATGGGCTCCT